AATGGCACAATCTTGGCTCACTGCAACCTCTACCTCCCAGGTTCAAGCAATTCTCCTGCCTCAGCCTCCCAAGTAGCTGGGACTACAGGCGTGCACCACCACACCCAGCTAGTTTTTTGTATTTGGTAGAGATGGGTTTTCACCATGTTGGTCAGGCTGGTCTCGAACTCCTTACCTCAGGTGATCCACCTGCCTTGGCCTCCTAAAGTGCTGGGATTACAGGCATGAGCCACCTAGCCCAGCCTTATTTTTTCTTAAATAACCCCTGGTAGAGCTACTGAGGCCTCACAGGAACTCAGCAAACACCTCCTGTGGATGTCACTTGATCCTCCAAAAGTTATAAAGGAGGCTGAGGCCAAGCACAGTGGCTCATGCCTGTAATCCCAACACTTTGGGAGGCTGAGGTGGGTGGATCACTTGAGGCCAGGAGTTCTAGACCAGCCCGGGCAACATAGCAAAACCCTGTTTCTATGAAAAATACGAAAATCAGCCAGGCATTATGGCGTGCACCTGCAGTCCCAGCTATTTGGGAGGCTGAAGTGGGAGGATGCCTGAGCCTGGGAGGTGGAGGCTACTGTGAGCCAAAATGGTGCCACTGCACTCCAGTGTGGGATACAGAGCAAGACCCTATCTCAAATAAGAACAAAAAAAGGCTAGGCATGGTGGTTCATGCCTATAATCCCAGCACTTTGGGAGGCCAAAGTGGGAGGATCACTTGAGGCCAGGAGTTTGAGAACAGCCTGGGCAGCATGGTGAGACTTTGTCTTCACAAAAACATAAATTCTAGTCGTAGTGTTGCACACCTCTAGTCCCAGCTACTCAGGAGACTGACACCAGAGGATCATTTGAGCCTAGGAGTTCAAGGCTGCAGTGAGCAATGATTGCACCACTACATTCCAGCCTTGGCAACAGAGCAAGAGAGACCCTGTCTCAAAAATATAAAAGTTATAAAGGGGGTTTGCTGAACGCACACAAGCACTTCATTATATGTAACAAGTCACACCGTGTTGACCAAGGCAGGGGTTCATGGGCAATAAAGAGAATTAACTAATCAGTAGTCGTGTTATGCAAAGAGCATACACTGGCTCTTTTGTTCAAAGGATACGTATTTAAAATCCATTTATAGGCCAAGCACAGTGGCTCACGCCTGTAATCCCAGCACTTTGGGAGGCTGAGGTGGGCAGATCACCTGAGGTCAGGAGTGATCTGCCTGGCCAACATGGTGAAACCCCATCTCTAAAAGCACAAAAAGCCAAGCGTGATGGCAGGCGCCTGTATTCCCAGCTACATGGAAGGCTGAGGCAGGGGACTCGCTTGAGCCTGGGAGGTTTCAGTGAGCCAAGATGGCACCACTGCACTCCAGCCTGGGTGACAGAATGAGACTCCATCTGGAAAAATCAAAAAATCCATTCATATGAATCCATTTGGGAAATGGATGTGTAGATTCATTCCATCTCCCACGCAAAGGGACACAGCTGCTGTCATGCTGCCGTAGGGAGAAGCCCTGCCGGCAGCCCCAACTTGATGTCGGGAAGTAGTGATGCTGACTGTCGCTGTATGAAGCTTCTAGCGCAAGTTGATGGAGCCACCTTCTCTCCCTCTGCTGGGGCCCTGTACTGCTGGTAAGAAAATGGCTTTTTTGTTGTTTTCTTTTTGAGACAAAGCCTTGCTCTGTCGCCCAGGCTAGAATGCAGCAGCCTGATCTCAGCTCACTGCAACCTCCACTTCCCGGGTTCAGGTGATTCTCCTGCCTCAGCCTCCTGAGTAGCTGGGACTGCAGGCGCACACCACCACACCTGGCTAATTTTTTATACTTTTAGTTGAGATGGGGTTTCACCATGTTGGCCGGGCTGGTCTCGAACTCCTGGCCTCAAGTGATTTGCCTGCCTCAGCCTCCCAAAGTGCTGGGATTACAGGCGTGAGCCACTGCGCCCGGCAAAAGTGGCTAACTTTGTAAGTATTGTGTTTTGTGCTGTCTGGGGTGGCAAGAGTTAAAAAATCAAGGCCCACTCCCACCCCATGCAGGCAAGTCCCCCTGTGAGGCATCTGTTGTACGCATTAGGTGCACCTGAAATAGGCAAGTTTGAAGGTAGAGGTCGTAGATAGGAATTGTAAAGACTTAACTTAGACCGTTCAGGAAATTGGAGACAGAAGAGCTTCTTCTGCTGGGCAGCAGGATGGCACCCAGCGACAAGTGGAGGATACCTCCATAGCAGAACAGGAAAGAGTTTGACCCCAGCAGGACAAAGGGCAGATCAACTCTGTTAGGGTAAGTGCGCCTTTGCCACCCCATTTATTTAGCGACAGAGTCTCACTCTGTTGCCTAGGCTGGAGTACGGTGGCACGATCTCAGTTCACGGCAGCCTCCACCTTCCGGGTTCAAGCAATTTTTGTGCCTCAGCCTCCAGAGTAGCTGGGATTATAGGCATACACCACGTCTGGCCAATTTTTGTATTTTTAGTAGAGATGGGGTTTCACCATGTTGGCCAGGATGGTCTCGAACTCCAGACCTCAGATGATATGTCCAGCTCGGCCTCTCAAAGTGCTGGGATTACAGGTGTGAGCCACTGTACCGAGCCTTAAGTAGTATTTTCTGACAGGAAATGGCTCACTCTCCTTAGTAAAATAAATGACTAATTGATGGGATTAATACTTACACTAGTCAAGACCAGGCACAGTGGCTCACACCTGTAATCCCAACACTTTGGGAGGCCAAAGTGGACAGATCACTTGAGGTCATGAGTTTGAGACAAGCCTGGCCAACATGGTGAAACCCCATCTTTATTAAAAATAGAAAAATTAGCCAGGCATGGTGGCACATACCTGTTATCCCAGCTACTTGGGAGGCTGAGGCAGGAAAATCACTTGAACCTGAGAGGTGGAGGTTGCAGTGAGCTGAGACGGCACCTCTGCACTCCAGCCTGGACAACAAAGTGAGACTCTGTCTCAAAAAAAAATAAAGTCAGGCTAAGTACAGAGTCATAAAAGTTTTGAGTTGGAAGCACTCTTATAAATCATCTGTTGACAGGGCATAATCCATAACCCACTGGCCAAATCCAGCCCATTCCCTGTTTTTGTAAAGCCTGTATGCTAAGAATAGCTTTTACATCTTAGAATAGTTGGAAAAAAGTCAAAAGAAGAATATTTCATCACACATGAAGATTATATGAAATTTAAATTTCAGTGTTCATAAATATTTATTAGAACCCAGAAGGTAAGCTGGGCTTAGTGGCTCATACCTGTAATCCCAGCACTTTGGGAGGCTGATATGGGCAGATCGCTTGATGTAAGGAATTCAAGACCAGCCTAGCCAACCCCATTTCTACTAAAAATACAAAAATCAGCTGGGCATGGTGGCACGCACCTGTAGTCCCAGCTACTCAGGAGGCTGAGGCAGGAGAATCACTTGAACCCGGGAGGCGGAGGCTGTAATGAGCCGAGATTGCGCCATTGCACTCCAGCCTGGATGACAGAGCAAGACTCTGTCTCAAAAAAAAAAAAAGGACTTTGTAGATAGCGTTTAAAGAAATCTGGATACTCACCACTATGGTCTCTGTGTCTTTGAAGCTCCACAGCAAACAGAGGCTCTCTGAAAGGAAAGGATACTGATTTGGTAACAGGGCATTACAAGGGGAATACGTGTGCCAGAGTAAACTATGCGCATATTTAGGCAGATAAAGGAAAACGAAGTTCTTAAAGGAAAAGTGAGGAGGATTAAATCATTGTTTTAAGATAATTATCCTTGGCTAGAAGGATCAATAGCAAGGGTGATTCCAGTTTGAGTTTAGCAGGCAGTTGCTGGGCAGATGTCCTCATAAAAGTGTTTTTTGTGTGACGCTGTGAAGGGCTTTGTGCAAAGTTGAGGTTTCTGCAGTCTTTTGTGATCATTTTTTATTTATTTGTTTTGAGACAGAGGAGTCTTGCTCTGTCATCCAGTCTGGAATGCAATGGTGTAATCACAGCTCACTGCAACCTCTGCCTCCTGGATTCAAGCAATTCTCCTGCCTCAGTCTCCTGAGTAGCTGAGACTACAGGGTCCTGCCACCATACCTGGCTAATTTTTTTGTATTTTTAGTAGAGACAGGATTTCATCATGTTGCCCAGGGTGGTCTTGAACTCTTGACCTCAAGGGATCCACCCACTTTGGTCTCCCAAAGTGCTGGGATTATAGGCATGAGCCACCGCACCCGGCCCTGTGATCATTTTTGTTATCAAGCATTTAAGCATGAGAGTCGGTCTCTTCAGGGCCTCCCCCAGCTCTATTTGTCTGTTTTTGTTTGTTTGTTTGAAGTGATTCCATTTTGATTCTGACAACTTCCACACTATGCAGTCGCATCTCAGGCATCCAGAGCCCTCCAGAATATATTTGCTGTCTGCCGAATAGTCTCTGTTCAAGATGATAAGAACATCCCCAGCTGTCCTGTTTGGTGAGGCATGAGACTACACCTCAGCATTTTCCAG